CCACTCCTCTTCCTACTCATCGAAGCGGGCAGCAGCAGTCCTTTCCTCACCCCCCAAGCGGTCAGACTCGTTTCTACTATGAACCGAATCAGACCCTCTGCAAGACGTGTCACAACTAGTCAGTGACGACCGACCCCACCAACAGCCCTCACTAGGCCGTCGACTCACACGATTCTGGTCAATCAAACTTCCCTCGGACCAGACCTGATAGTAACGTTGCCCACAATAACACAGTCTGCAATAATCTATACCTCATAGTAAGTGACCCCAACACCACTACTGCCACCAAAGGGCGAGAAGTGGTACCCCTTGCCGTCCTTACGACCAGCCTTAAACTCGCCAACATAATAGCTGCTATCGCTTTGCTCCCATTTGCCCAACCCATCAGGCTCATCCTTCTGATCAAAGATACCAGTCTCAAAATCTTCGCTGTGCGCAATTCCGAATCCTACCTTCCATTCTCCCCTATACACAGCCCCTCCTTTGCTTATATATACCCCAAGGCCTTCTCTCTGGGAGTCTACTACAGTACCGGAATACCCAGCTCCGTTGCTGAGACACCAAATGCTTCCTCTCCACTACTTATTCTCCACATTTACTACTTATATAAAATAGTCCCATCCCCTTGCCACTTGCCTCTATCGTCCCTGACGAGGCCCAGCATAGCATCACCAGTATGCTCTTCAATTACAGCGGAGTCTGGCTGGCAACCGTAGGGACCAATCGCCTTGTAAAATGACGTCCGCCTGTGTTGGGAAGCAGTACTATCGCAATTCTCCGCATCCTGTTCGTTCCTGCCCGCCCGAGTGAGCTTGCTTAAGCTGACCATTTGTAGCAAAGACTCACAAGCAGTCTTCGAGGGAAAAAAGGAATAAAAATATTTCCACCCACTCCGAAAGGTTAACTCAAGAGACGAAATCAGTGCCGCAGAAAAGCAATTCGAGACGGGAAATTACTCACATAAAATAAGGTGCGACCTAGAAGAGCGACAGACGCGGCTATCAATCGGCTCTAAACTTTGACTTCTTCAATAAGTTCATCACTCCAGCGGCCACGCCCGCGACCAGAGCCGTAACGAGGATCATCTGAGAGTAAGCAGTCGATGCTTTGACGCGTAGGGGCAAGCAGTGTTGGAATATATGTTCGCTTTCCTCAGCTGAGTCTCCTCACTAACATAGAAATCCGGGTAGAATGTATAGAAACTAACGAGAAGTTCTCAAAACTTTCTCAAAACCTTCACCAACACATGTGACTGACCGAGTGAACATTTTCCCACCCTGGTGGGGAGAGGGCCTACCTGAGTCACGCTCCAGCTGTTGTCAGCATAATCACCAAACTTGATTTCTAGTGGTATTCCAGGAGTGTCCTCTTTCCCTTCCAAAACACCTTAGAAAGCACCAGGATGGCAGCCTAGTGGTGATACGGATATTACCTATAGCAACTTCACGAATCAACCTCATGCGGGCCTCATCGGAATGATCAACATCATCGTACTCTTCAGTGCAGTCAGTACCTGCTCACAAATACTACTCATACTTCATTTCCACTACCACCGATACAACCACGGATTGTACAATGTTCAATCACCGACTTAGTTGTAATGTAAGCGCTGGGGGTCGGTCCATACTCCTACCATTGTCACTACCGCTAGTTCGAAACTATCCCTATTACAACTGCCACCTTTACTATAATGAAAATACCCCTACAACTATCGTAATTATTTAGATGATATAATAACTACTACAAGGGCCAGGTGTGCTACTACCAGCATTTCGCATAAGAATACTTTCTCCACCAGGATGGTCCTCTTTAAACTTGGTCACATCGAGCACTAGACCATGAACGGATATCCTACCACGGGATGTCCTTAGCCTCCTACAGTGTGTATTACCATGCATCGTGCTTAGTGGTGTGTTTGGCCAGCTCAGCCTTGGTAATCACCCTACTTCTGATGGCATCGGTGGGACTATGGTAACCCTCAGACATAGTAAGGAAAGGTTGCTACGACGATAAGAGTAAACGGGTGATATGGAATAGGTACATTGGTGAAACACTCGTTGTCGGTTCTCAAGACTTCGGCGCAGCTTGGATGGAGTCGTGGAATGACGTGAGGCAAATCGATTACACGGGCGTAGCGAGATTTGCAATTGCGATTCATAGCCGTGCTCTTCCCACCGCAGACTAAACCCCTATATTCCCTGACAATGAGTCAAACTAACATTGAGTGCAACTACGACGATGCTCCCGTCGATTCCTTCGACGACTTGGACTTGGATGAGAACCTTTTACGAGGAATCTACTCGTACGGTTTCGAGAAGCCTTCGGCTATTCAATCGGTACGTGAGGGGGGTCACCTACAGTCAGCTTCAGCTCGCTCCTCAACACCGTTAACGCTCCCTTGAATTCATAGGATACTATAGGGAGCTTGTGGCTTGCATTGTCTTAGGGGGAGTGTTCATATTAATGGCATTATGTTTTCCTTCAGAGAGCTATCAAGCCTTTGATTGCCGGTCGCGATACCATCGGCCAGGCCCAGTCTGGTACTGGTAAAACCGGCGCCTTCACCGTCGGCTGCCTTGCTCGTGTTGACCCCAAGCTCAGAGCTACTCAGGCCCTTATCCTCGCCCCTACTCGTGAGCTAGCTCAGCAGATCACTTCGGTAAGACCAGTGGAAGGGTGAGGCGTAATTACTATGTTTCCTCGTCAGGTTACCAAGTCCCTTGCTGACTTCCTCGACATCAGGTGCCATGCCTGCATTGGTGGCACTGCTGTTCGTGAGGATATTGAGAAGCTCCGTGAGGGGCAGCACGTCGTGGTTGGCACTCCTGGTCGTGTCTTCGATATGGCCAACAAGAGGCATCTAAGGTAAGTATACATACATGTCTGTACTTCTCGACATACCTTATTTCAGGTTGGATGACCTTAAGATCTTCGTCCTTGATGAGGCCGATGAGATGCTCTCTCGAGGGTTCAAGGATCAGATCTACGATGTCTTCCGTCTCTTGCCCAGCAATGTCCAGGTGAGTTTCCAGCCCTTCTTGTGGTCGCTTCACTGATGGTCTTCTTGTAGGTCGCATTGTTCTCCGCCACCCTGCCCGATGACATCATTCAGCTGACTACCAAATTCATGCGTGACCCCGTCCGAATCCTCGTCAAGACTGATGAGTTGACCTTGGAAGGTGAGAGCTCTTCCTCAACTGTCACTGTCGTATTCCTTTCCTTAGGTATCCGTCAGTTCTACATTGCCATTGATTCTGAGGAGTATAAGTTCGATACCCTCAAGGATTTGTATGAGACCCTCACCATCACCCAGGCTATCATCTACTGCAACACCAGGAGAAAGGTCGACTACCTCGCCGAGAAGATGCATGAGGCCGATCACAC